CTCTACTCTACTCTCTCTCTCTCTCTCTCTCTCTCTCTCTCTCTCTCTCTCTCTCTCTCTCTCTCTCTCTCTCTCTCTCTCTCTCTTTCTTTCTCTCTCTCTAGTTTCAAATAATCTTATTATTCTGTTCATCTTATTACGTAATTAATTTCGTATTGCGTAAACGTATTTCGTAAACGTAATTAATTCATGTATTTACCTCGTAATCCATTTTAGGGAAAAAAAAAGGATAAGCGTAATGCATTAATCTTTTTTATTCTTGTCTTACTTACAGAGCAGCATTACGCAGCAGCTGATTCCAATAGCTCGACGCCCGCTAAGAGCTTCGTACCCTGCAAAGTCTGCGGCGATAAGGCGAGCGGCTATCATTACGGTGTTACCAGCTGCGAGGGTTGCAAAGTGAGTTGAGAATCTTTATCAGAAGCAAACAAAGAGTCGTGTCGAAATTTAAACACCGAACTATGGCGCGCAAGCTATAACGTCTATGTGAATTTTTGCATAATAACTCATCAGCGAGAAAATTGCCGCTGCAGTAAACGGTTCTTGTGAATCTTTCCCGCGATCTCAGCGGTCGCTCAAGTTGATAGAAACTTCCTGTAGAAAAATTAATTTTCCGCAGATGCATTTTAAATTTATATAAATTATATACGATCACGACAATAGTCTTACAAATCAAACTACAATCCCATTTTATATAAATCCATTTTATTTACGGACTCCATTTTCAGTAATTTTTTTTGTCCAATGTAACCAATCGGAGGAAAATTGTTGCCACGCGCAAAATTAGAAGGGAGAGGTTCGAGGCGATGTATTAAAGGGCCGAGTTGCTCGCAGCTCGCAGCTTTCGATATCTCGCGGAATACTCGCCGATTGATTTGACCTCGCGGCACAACGATGGGTCAAGTACAATTTACAACTCCGATACGCAAGGATGCATAACGATCGAGTAATAATCCGCGGAACGACTCGTTCGCACTTCGGGGCAGGGTATTATCGGTGCGCGCGCTCACGTCTTAAGCATCGTGGGAGATGCACATCCGCCGTGGAACGCCCGTACGTCTGAGATTTCAAACGCGGAAGCCCTAAGGCCAAGAGTTAACGGTGAAGTGGTGCATTCTCGCATTCGCTAGCAGCAAGTTCTGCGGGCAAATTGCACGCAGACACACACGATCCTGTCGCGTGGTAAGTAAATCCGCCTAAAGTTGGCCGAGAAATGAGCTCTCGTTTCTCTCATCTGCACTTCCTCGCTGAAACGCGATTCGCTGGTATTTTTCATTTGAAGGAAAAAAAAGGGACATTTGACACTCGGATTTTCAATATTGCGCGAAAGGAATATCTGCGCATCCGCTTCTTTTAATATCCCCTATGTTGAAACGCGCGTCGAGCGAATAGCAAAATATTTGAAACACGTGTCGATATCTCCGCTTTTGAAAATCATTCGAGCGATAAATATGAAATTTGCCCCGAATATCTCAAATTAATATTTGACTTGTAATATTAAAGCTAACAAATAGCTAATAGCCACGTCGGCATGATAAAAGCAAATTCTGCGCGCAGAGCATGTAAATTGTAATTTAAAATGCAACAAATCAATGAAACGGCTTGCCATTGTTTCGCGCCCGGCTGCACGGACTATTACTACTGCGTAGTCCGCCGATACATTTGCCTGACCTGCACCGCGTTTTTACTACTGGCTCGATGTGCGGTTCGTGTTGTTCGCTTCTCCTTTATTTCTCTCGTGCGATATTTACTGCCGTAGAAAACTCTAACGTACAGCTTTCTTTTCGCAACTGTTTGTAACATGAGCATTTCGCGATACACAAATCTTTCGCAGAAGGATATAGCGAAATTTATCGAGTTAAAAAAATCATAAATCTCATCTACGATATTTCGTTTTGCGTGCCTTCTACTATAATACTTATCACGTCGAATTTTTGTTTTAACTCGCTTTGGCTGCAGTTTAGAATTTTTGAAGAATTTATTTACATATAATTATTTAATGCATAGTTCATTGAAATAATTATTGAAAAAAATCTCAATTATGTCAAATAAAGCTAATTGTAATTTATCTAAAATTTTAATTTTAATATTCCTTTTTATTTTTCGTGAAATAAAACAATTAAAAGATGTTATTAATTCATCTTTAATTGCAAATAATAAAATGAATATCGAATAATTAAAACGTTCAATAATGCGTTTCATAATGTTCTCCAAAATTTGCGTGTATTTAGTTGATGATACTGATCTGTCGAAATTATATAATTGTTATATTTTTCATCTGGCGAAGACAAACAGACGGACGTGATATGACGTATCGATTTTAGAAACGAGCTGAGACCGTGCGCGCCATCGGTTACCAGTAATATCGACAGTTGCATTACGAGCAGTTCGTCCGTCGGGTATTCCAGGATATTGGATGCTGGATATACGTTAGCGTTGTTGTATGATGCCGTTACGAATAGCTTTCATCAATTAGCACCGATAGTAATATGCCAATACACCGATGCTTACGCGATTGCACGCGACTCGTCCATATGCCGTTTCCATTATTTCATTACTTCCGCGTGAGCTTTTCGCTCCGTAAAACCGCAGCTGTTATTTATGTAATACACATATTAACGAGCGTGAAATGCAAGGCCATAGGTCGTCGTTGAATTGAATCACTGATGAGCATCCCGACAAATGTGAAACATGAATGAGAAGCAATAATTTAATATTCTTAATCTATATCTTTAATATTCTTTAATATTCTTATGTCGAGAGATTTTATTTCAAATTTTGAATGGTGATTTTAGAGATTCATTATCAAAATAATTATTATGCCGAAAATGAAAAACTTGACGAATGATAACTAAATAAAGTCTTCGTCGAGGAAGAATAGACTCCGAAATTCATGGAGAATTTAAAAAGATATTCGCTGGTTTTCCATGAGAGGTCAGAGTTATGTCAGAGTGTTTTATTAAATTGTCGCTTACTGTTATTAATCTTATTAACAAGTACACAAATTTCGGATGTAATCGCACAACCGGGAATTTCTCATCCGGGAAAATGCGTAGTACGACATAAAACGCGTTCGAGAACTTGCCTTTCTCATGAGCGCGTTTTCCGTTATCTCTCTCGATTTTCCTGCACTCTCTCGGCCTTACAAAGAAGGGCACGGAGTGTCGTATTTTATACGCGGGGAGATATAATTAACCCCGCGACGGTCTATGGGATCGTTATTAATAGAGCTTCCTTACTTCCTGTTTCAGGGCTTCTTCAGGAGAAGCATACAGAAGCAGATAGAGTACAGGTGCTTGAGGGACGGCAAGTGTCTTGTCATCAGATTAAATCGGAACCGTTGCCAGTACTGCAGATTCAAGAAGTGCCTAGCCGTCGGTATGTCCAGAGATTGTAAGTATCGTGTTCGCGAACATGTTTAATAATTTTTACACGCGACTCAGACAGCAAATTATACAAAATATGTCAACAGAGTAGTAAACTTTTGGAGCACCATTATTAAATATTTAATTTTCCAAAACATCCAATTATATCTTTCAAACAGTACTGTGTCTTGCTTAAAAAAATTGCAAAAAAATATTTTTATTTTTATTTTAAATTTCACTATTTAACATAAAATGGAGTATATAAATAATTATAATGTCTCTAAAATATATTTAAATTATCTAAAAATATATTATTATAAAAAAGATATTATCTGTGTTCTTCCGAGACAATGATACATAGTTAAAATTATGCAAGTTACAAAAATTTGTATGCACTCTCTATTTTGTTCTTATTATATCAGAAAATTTTGTAGAATTTTTAAATAACGTTCGATTAATTGTAAATTCAGATAATTATACGTGGGCAGAGAGAGAGAGAGAGAGAGAGAGAGAGAGAGAGAGAGAGAGAGAGAAGAGAATGCTTAAACATGTCAAGAGTTAAAAAATATCCAGACGAAATTATATGTTAATTTGCCAATTATATTAGTATATGCCAAATATGATCTTGTCAACTTGACATTGGAGTCGACTTTGATTCCTCACGCGTATATCAGAACGAGCATACGAGTCCGCGGCGCCGTTAGAAATTCAAACAGAATTCTACGAGATCGCAATTCTGGTCGTCAGTGATGCAAAATCTACTTGCCGCCCGTGCTGAGAGAGCAAAGTAAACCAAAGGGCAGGCGTGTACATAATTAAACGTCAGAGTTCCAAAGGGCGCAATATTGGTCTACGTGTACCTGCGACGTGCAACCTGCGAGTACCGTTTCATCATCGTGTCACGTGTCGCAAACGAAATTGTAACGAACTCACGTAGACTTGCGTAGACTCGGGTGTAATAATCTAGAATCGTAAACGAGATAGCTTTCATTCAAATCCTTGAGACTTAAATTTCAAAGATGTCCAAACTTTTGACGTAAAATATCTTGAGACTACGGCATTTAAATAGGAATCCAAAAAGCTAGACATAACGTTATCGTAAAGCTATTTTTTTCATGTGAGCGGAAAGAAGCCATAGCTATAATTTTTTATATTAAGAATATTTATATTTCTTTTACCGGCTTTGTGTGATTCTTTCGTTTTCGGCTGGCGTTTTGCGAACCCTCGCTCCATCCCCATGCAAAATCAGCATTAAAAAGCTGATGCTATCGCTCCTTCCTTTTCATGGAACGTGTTTTCGCTGGTTTCAGATTTTATTATTATTTATATTTGTCTTGTATTTGTGCTGAATATATACAATAAACATCATAATTTAATTAAAAAGAAAAGAATTGAAAAATACATTTGGTATTAAAAATGAATTACAAGAATCAATACATCATGCATATGAAAAAATAGAGACAAAAAATTACTTAATAATTATGATTTAATATTCAATTTTTATTTGTTATTTATAAATAAATAATTTTTAATAAATTATTGTTTTATATAAGATATACTATAATATATACTACATATATACCTTTGTTTTCATTCACTATCAAAATTTTATCAGTTCTTTCACCTATAGCTATAATTTTTTATATTAAGAATATTTATATTTTTTTTACCGGCTTTGTGTGATTCTTTTGTTTTCGGCGTTGTTTCGCTTGGTTGGATCGAATCGAACTCGTTTTCAGCGTGTTTCCGCTAATACAACCATTTTAATCAAAAATCGGAGAGGGAGAAAACGCCAGCTTTTTTCTGCTAATATGAAAAAGCAGTTTAAGATTTTATAATCTATGTCTCTGCAGTGTGATTCACTAAAAATCTTCTCACCTGACCAAAAATCGTTCTAATCTAGTTAAAAAATTATTCGTCCTTCAATATTTTTGCGAACAAGGAATTATTTCGGATGTTTTTTTTTTGTTTTTTTTTGTTTTTTTTTTATTAAAGATTAATCCTTTATTCTTATATTATCAAATACTCTCTGTTAAGTAAACTCTGAAGTAAAAGGATTATCCACGAGGGACCGAAGATTTTTTCGTTCGCGAAAAAATAATCGCGAAGAAATCTTCGATTTTCAAAAGTATTATTTGACGAAAATCAATATCGGCGAAGAAGCAGCGTCGTGTTCACGAGAAGCTGAAACATACGTAAATAATTCCCTCTCGCGATGCGAATGTCTCGAGTTTTCCCCAGCGATCTAGAATTGGCCATCTTTTTGCAGCCGTGAGATACGGCAGGGTGCCGAAACGCTCGAGAGAACGCGGCCCTGAGGACACGATGGCGACGACCATGACGACGACGACGACGACGACGACGATGGCGACCATGGAAATGCAGCAACTGACCACACCTGATACCGGCAATAACAACGCCAGCAACAAGAACAACAATAACAACAACAATAACAACAATAATAACAACAATAACACCCAGAGCCAGAACGCGATCTCACGAGTACCGTCTGCGGCGGTGGTCGAGGCTGATCAATCGGATGCTGATGTGAAGCAGCTGGCCGTGTACGATGTGATCCATCAGGTGTCACAGGCTCATCACGCTCATTGCGGCTTCACGGAAGAATCCACCAGGGGTCTCACAAGGAAACCTATGATAATACCGGTGAGCCATTAGAAAACGGACAAAAGAACTAATCCGTTAGAACCTAAAATGTCACCGATCTAAATCAACAGTCATTACGATAGTGATTAATTAATCCAATAAGATTTTTAATATAATTTTATGTGTCTTTTTAACACAATAAAGATCTTTCGAATTAATTGAACAGATGAAAGCGACATTTCGATATATTTTTACGGAATTAGTTTAATTTCTCATTACGCATTAGCGCGAAGACTTCCCGCTGGAAGTGGTAGCAAACTCGCAGGTCTGTTTGTAATCTTGCTGATTAGGCGAGTAATTCTTCGCAGCCCGCCAGCCCGGAGGATCCGGAAGCGGCGTCCTCGACCGCGGAGACGGTCGAGTCGCAGAGGATCTGGCTGTGGCAGCAATTTGCCACGAGGGTGACGCCGTCGGTGCAGAGGGTGGTGGAGTTCGCGAAGCGAATGCCGGGATTCTGCGAGCTCTCGCAGGATGACCAGCTGATCCTGATCAAAGTCGGCTTCTTCGAGGTGTGGCTCTGTCACATCTCCAAAATGACCACTGACAATTCGATGACTTTCGAAGACGGCACATATTTCACCCGCCAGCAGTTAGAACTGATGTACGAGGTAAGATAAAAGCGGATTAGTGTGACTTAGTTTGCGCTAATTTTATCCTGGATGAGATAACAAGATTTTTACGTATTTCCAAGTAAAATTTATATTTTTTAAGTGACAGATGTCTAATTTATTTTTTATATCGCAAACAATAGAATCGTACAATTGATTATTTTTTCTCTCTTTTGAAAAACAAATCCAAGATAAACAATAATTAAAAGCTACATCTCGAATATTTTTCAACATATATTGTTTTTATTATTACATAGAAAAACTAGTTTTTTAAATATCTAGAATAATTGGCCAGGTACAGATTCGAAAATAATTTCGTTAAGCCATCAAAATAATTTTATAAAACAATTTAATTGGCTGTTAGAATATAAAAAATTTTTGCAATATTATCATCATGTTTAATTAGAACAATCAGCTTTGAAATATATATATACTTAATGTTACCATATTTGTCTATTTGACAAGATATTTGAAAAACCATTTTATTTGTTGTTATTCTTAATTTTACATGAATCTGAAACTTTCTCATTTTCTAGACATTAAATATCATTTTAGTGATAACAAATTTATTTTCAGGTCTATATCTAGTCAAATTTTTGTGTACTTCAGCAAAACGTGTACAATACACAATTTGTCGTGATTAAAATCGTAAATCGATTTTTCTTTGCGATTGGCAGCCCGACTTTGTGTCCGCGCTGATGCAAGTCACATCGTCGCTGAATGCTCACCAACTGACGGATACCGAGTTGGGCCTATTCTCGGCGGCGGTGCTGCTGAGCGAGCGACCGGGACTGAACGACGTCAAGGCCGTGCAGAGGTTGCAGGATCGCGTGCTGGAGGCGTTGAGGGTGCAGGCGACACGGCCCTCCGGCGAAGGCGCCGGCGGCACGGTCACCACGATCACCAGCGTCTCGCAAAGGATACCCGAACTGAGAACGCTCGGCGCCAGACACGCCAATCTCCTGGATTGGTTCCGCAGAAACTGGACGAAGCTTAAATTACCGCCGCTGTTCGCCGAGATCTTCGACATTCCCAAGTGCGAGGAGGATTTACAATGAAGAGGTAATCTTTAATAACAAAAGAATTATTAAAGATTCATCGTCAAGGTTTCAAAGGCGGTTCGTGCGAATAAAAGGGAGAAAAAATGAATTTTCATTGGTATTCGTATAGCGAGCTCTCCGTGAAGATGCGAGAGTGTTCGTTTACGTTTGAAGCATTCGTTTCTGGGAGTAAAATGACGATAGCACCGTCAAAAAGAGCAATGAGAGGCGCGAAATCCTCCCTGTGTAATCGATACTTGGCTGACAGCATGACATTTGCAAACGAATGCTTCAAAAGGATATTTATACGAAATACGGGATATGTTTACGCTACGAGCTTTTACTTTTAAACAAGTGCTTGCTTTTACCTTTCTAAAAGCTCTATAAATCTTTATTTCAATTTTATTCATATTACCCGATGCAATTCCATGTTTTTCTCGCTCTCATTTATTTAATATAATTTCGATACATAAAATCAAATTATTATTCTTTTTCGTCATTTGTATCATGATAGCGATTATAAAATAATATCCATGCTAAATTGGCAGAAATTTTTATAATAATCAAATATAATATGTACAGTTCTAATGATTTTTGATGTAATGCTCAAGCGATAAATAATTCAGAATTTAATAAATCTACGGATCTTTGCGAATCATATCCACTTCTGTCGTTTTGATAAATTTCTCTATAACTAATATTAGGCTATTAGGCAACTTTGTTTGATTTCTCCCATCGTAAGATCTTGAATTGCCAAATACAGTGAAGTGTCGTTTGTTCAGCAGCTTCTATAAGCAACAGCGAGGCCAATAATTCGAGACCAATGACGCCGTGATGTCGGCGAGAAATCGAGTCGTCCAACGCTTACCGAGGCCGCTCTGAATATCTAGACACGTTTGTTTTAATTGACAGACAGTGAAACACGTCTAACATGATCACGAGATCCGAATTGCGTGAAGAACGAGCGGTTGGAACCGAGAAATGAAGCATATCTGTGAAGACTATCGCAAAGAAATATTATACAAAATAAAGAAGAGAGAAAAGCGAAGATGCGATTGTCGATGATTGTCAATGGCAATTCTCGCTGACTTGTCCCTTCTGACGAGATATCTCGATCGATCAAAAGCCAAGGAAATATTTTCGGCCGAGAGATCGCGAAAGATTTGCCGATATTAAAAAAAAATTAAAAAAGAGAAAAGGGAAAATATGCAATCGTCGATTATCTGGGCAGCGAGATCGAGCGGCGGACATTAGCGCAACTCTCTGGCCGGCGATCTTTTAGAGAATTCCCTCAGGATATCTCTCGATCGCTTCGCAGCGTGACAGAAGATAATCTCAAGAGAAGGAAAGATCATCTTTAACGGGCCGTGCAAGCAATACGACGGAACTCCAAGCTTCGTGCCAGCTCGGAGGGAAATACGCAGACGCAATTTGCTCAAATCCAACGGAAACGGCTTTGTATTCGCCAGGCAATAGCACACACGCATCAGAGCACGTGCGTCTCCGAACAGGCGTGTACTTGAAATACTCAATCGACGAGGGCGGGTTCTTTCGCGCCGCTTTGTCGCCGCGTCAAGTAAACAGATGGCTGTTTTAACGAGCATCACAAGCGATGAGCAAGCACAAAAAAAAGCATAATCGAGTCACGGACGTCCGTTCGTGCACAACACTTCTGTCCTTTTCTTTCTCTTTTGTTTCTTCGATTAATTCTAAGATTTAAGGATATACATATATGTACATATATATATATATATATATATATATATAAATAACAGCGTGCAGTATCCGTTTGAGAACGGCTAGAACGGAATCGGCCAAATGATAGCATCAGAAACACCAACTACATACTCAACGGACATATCAGAAATTAAGATTACGAAGTGTTCCCTTGTGTATCAAGCGTTGCCGAGCACGAATGTGTCTCTTGTGAGACACGCGGCCAGTGTAATTGCAACGAGTTCGAATTTCGATGTTGCACAAACGCGTGGAAAACATTCAGTCCAACGACGGGAAGAAAGAGCTACAGGCTTTTCCGAATAAGAATTGAATATCGCGGATTTCCTTTGCCACACATTTTACAATTACTTGTAATAATATACAATAATAATGAGATACATGTCTTTAATTATATATTAATAAATATGTAATTATAGGGAAAAGGGTGGAAAAGTGCCGAGAATAGATACATATCCAAATTTTTATATATTTATTTTCTTGTGTGTTGTGTCATCGAAAGGCGAACTTGTGAAAATGTCATCGTTTTCGATCCCCAATTTGTCGCGACACCGAGATGACGATGAATGATTGTACGCGGCCGCGTAAATGTAACAAAACGCGCGTGTGATCGGGCACGAAGTTTGCGCGATATTAGCGCGAGCACGCGTACATATATGCATACAGCAGTTATGAGCTTATGTATGTCATTAAAAGCGCTGAGAAGAAGCATATACAAATTTCATTGCTGTAAGGCTCGAGAGAGGAAATCTTTATAGAACGTATCTTCTTATAGGCGCATCTGCTACGAATTTCAATCTATGCAATCTCTATTTTTATTACTCGACAAGTAGAATAGCGAATTATCTCAGTATACATATATATAATTATATAATTTGTATAATTGTGTAATTATATATGTATATATAAATTATATATCGTCGCGCACGGCGCTTCGGGAGACTGTTCCGAGCGGAAGCGCACAAGAGAAAACCGAAACGCGGTTCGAATTAAAGTTCCTCAAATAATCACACGGAAAATTTTCGCACGTATAGAATTCGGACACAATGAAAGGAATAGGAAATTAAAAATAGAGAATTAGGAATAAAAAATTTCAACGTATATCAACGGAATCCATTCTTCGATGCACACTCAGAGAATATCAAGTTGCTCTTTTATTCGGAAATGATTTTCTATGTTTCTAAATTATTCTTTATATTTATTTTTTTTTACTTCTCATTTCCGCTCATTGTGCCTGAATCCTCACTCGTCGCGGCGAGTCTGTGTCTGTGATCTGTAAATCGTGTCCCGCGACAACAGCATGCAACGCGACGAGTTGCTACTTGTTACACGTGCGTTACAAAATTCCGCGAACGAATATGTGTGTCAGCGACACGCGGTCCACATACACACGAGACACCCAACGCACGCAACGTCCAGAGAATTCTACCTGACTCGCGATTCCGCGCGGAACGATTCTGGCGGCGAAGCGCGACCGGCTCTTCAAATTTCAAACGCTAATAACTTTCTGACAATGACTAGGGTATAATTCATAATAATATATGTATAATCGCAGAGCGTATGTGCACGTATCCGTGCGTACATCTGTGTGTGAATGTGTGTGCGCGTGTGTATGTGTGGCGTATGCGCGAATGCATCGAAATACTCATCCGTGAAAACATGGAATAAGAGAGCAAAAAGGATATCGATATAAATTTCACTGTTTTATCTATACGCCGGGCGTACTAACGACGTAACCCGGTTTTATTGTCGCTATCACTCAAATCGGAAAAGAGGAATCGAAAATATTGTCCTTGCAATTAAAGGAAGGAAGAAGGAATTTCTCCAATCTGTATTACTCTATCTCTTTTTCTCGCTCTTTCTCACTCTTTCTAAGCGCTCACATCAAGTTGTGAATAAACATATCATACTTAATATATTGGACAAAGAGGATATCATCGTTTAATATAATATAAATATATATACAAATATATATAGGAGAAATATATATATGTATATTGCAAAGGAACATTATATTGAAGCTATATTGCAAAAAAAAGAAGTAGCTGTTAATTAACGCGTTAATGTCGAGTGAATCGCAAGGTAGGACATATCGATGATTACGATGCAACGATCACAATCACGTGGTAGTGTTCTCTCGCTTTTATATTTTAATCATCGTAATTTTTCTATTTTAATTGGCATTGTCTTTCGTGATCTAATATAAATTGAGCATGCGTAACTTTGACATTTATTGATCGTCATACTGTTTTCGCTTTCGCTATCCGATTATCGCGAAAAGAGAAAAATGTCGATTAGACTTTCAGGGTTTTGGGATAAAGTTTCGAGAAAGGATATCTCCGATTGTGAAATCCAATGACGAGGACATCGACGGCGACATCGATGTCTCTTGGCTTATTAAAATTGGAAGAGGCTGTGAGAGATAAATTTTAGTGCAATGTGCAATGATAATTTTCCGAGGGATAATCTCGAGGGGTTCCAAGCGACTAAAAAGAGAAAATAAAGGAAAAGAAGAAATGAGAAAAAGAAGAAAAAAAAGTTAAAAAAGAAAAGGAACGACAGGAATTCCCTAAACGTTAACTTTTTTTATATCGCTAAGTTGATACAAATTAAAAATGGAGAACGTAAGTAAATAAATAAATGATAGATATATAAATATCACAGGTATTATCACTCTCTTCCAAGGTCGACATTTTTCTCCCAGTTTACATCACGGTCGTATTCTTCAAAATTTCTAGTCCCACGAAAATTATTCACCGAGATAGCAATCGTGAATTGAAGAGGTGTTCTGGCGAGCGTTGCTGGAGTATATAATTAAACGGCCAAATACATCATAGTAATAATATAGCGTAATATTGTATTATTATGATAAAAAAGATAATTCTCTATCTGTCTCTATCTCTTAGCGACGACGCCGGTCAATCGTCCTTCGTCGTCTTTGCGCAACGCCGATAGTGTTCCTTCGCGTTCTTGCTGGTTGTTCGCGCGCGAATCGATGATGCTCCACTTTTAGGGACGCGCCCGAATCCCTTCGCCCTGATTTCGCCCAGATCTTTCGCTCCGGTCGTCGGCGATCCTTCGTTCTTTGACTTCTCGTAGCGTAAACTCGACGATTGGCCGGTACAGTAAAGAAAAAAACACACACACGACATACAAAAATGGAATCGATAATCATCGAGTGATGTAATTTGAATCTCGATATAGTATGGGAAGGATCGAATAAAAATCGAATCGCGGAGATGTTGATGCGTAAATCTTCATGACATGAAACTGAGTTTGTCGTCGAGCGAGATCCATGAAGTGGATCAAAGTGGAAACAATCATCGAAACAACGCATTTTTTTCACCAGTTCTTATTGGTTCTATCGTCATTCTATGTCGATAAATCTCCGTATTTTCCCAATCTTTTGGAACTTACCAAACCGACTTAAAGGGACGATTTTGTCCTTTTTCCCCTGTTTCTCAATCTCAATTTTCTTTTTTCTCTCTCGTGTTCCGACCGAAACGCAAGTTCCGAGTTCGTCCACTCCCTTAATCCTTTTTTTTCCTTTAGCCCGTCCTTCTGATCTGCCATCCCCCGGTCCTCCTGATTTGATCTTTCGCTTTGTCTCTTTTAGATTTCGAGATTCGAGATTTCGGTCATGGTGCTATAGTATCTGTACATATACTTATAGAAATCGTTGGTATAATCAGTATCGTTACGATTAATAATATTATTACGGTTAAAATTCGATTATTATCGCTGTGCTCCTCCTACTGCTATTATCATTATCATCATCGATATGTTTATTATCGTTATTGCTACCATCATTAATAACTATTATTATGATTATAATTATTATTGATAAAGATATTATATTATATTGATTGTACTTATTAATGATTATCTATATCGACGTTATGTATCGTCAGCGGCGCTATTTAAGTCAAGTGAGTGCAAGGAAAGGCAGAACAATAAGATGGTCCCCCGACGGTTTTCGAAATATATATTTCTATGTATTCCGCCCGCAGTTGCTAAGATTACGTAATAATCATTCTTTGGTTTAATATGTAGACTTACATGCGCGCATTATACACATTCTCTCCGATACATATCAAAAGCGGCAATATATATTCAAATATGTAGGATAGTCACAGATTCGCACAACAAAATTCTGTTATCAAGTTAAAACCAATTTCTTTCTGACTCAATTTATCATGAATTCAATTTTATTTATAAATCAGTTGAATTTTATTTAATTTTCGATGTACGAATATACGACATTAAACACATCGGTAAAGATTTCTTGCAAAAGAAGATTCCGTTTAAGTGAGTCTATTTAAAATTAACTGAAATTTAAAATAAAATGATGTTTTCTATTAATTATGAAATTCTTCAATTACGAGTAGTCTTACGTTTGTGTGGAAAAAAGATTATAAATCGATCAAGGGATTTTATTGTGTCAAGCACTTGCGCGAATTTGTGTCCATCGTGTATACATCTAAAGGCACCTGACTGAAAAGAAATGCGAGCGTTGTCTGAAAATAAAATCATTAACAAATTGCGAAAGGATTTTATCATAACACTCGTTTATATTAATAAATCCTTTAATTTATAAAAATAAGTTTGAAAAAATTAACTTGCTCAAATACTCGATTTATACTATCGAATGTTTTATCAAACGATTTGGACATATGTAAACAATGTATGTCCAACAGTGGTCAACGTATAAATAGAAAAAAAATTGTGCTTTTGTGAAATCACAATTTATATTTGTTGATGGGAATTTTCAAAAATCTTTCTCTTTTATTGAAATAATGTATGCTGCATTTAAATAATTAATGTCTATTATTACAATGAAAGAAATTATATCATATAAATTTTGTTTTCTCAACTGCGAAAATATGATGAATCAAATGTAATAAATATTTATTCTTATTTATATGTCGCCACTGTACATACGTGCAATAAATACAATACCAATTAAACATTATTATCACGCAACTTAAAATTCAGAGAAAGTTTTCGTATGACGAATTAAATTCCAAAATAAGATTTTATTCAAGTGAAATCTGCCTTGAAATTATATGAAAGATCAGGTATCTACTCGCAAATTTACAAATCAGTTTGCAAAGAATATCTTGATCTTTCATCAAGTTGCAACTGAAAAAATTTCAATCTTATTAATTTTTAATTTTTTAAGCCCGTTTTGATATTGAAACATTTTTCAAAGATCACCTGGCGTTCGCAATTGAGAGAAAATGCGCGAAAAAAATACCATATACACATAAACATTATTAATGAAGATGAACGACGGCGAGGATAATAGTAACGGTGGGCGATATCGGCGTGCCAAGGGAGGCGGGAATTATTCTTAAAGGAATATATATATATATATATAT